CAAGGACACGTACATCCCGATCTTCTCGAACCGCCCTGAAGACTACCGTGAATGGAGGACTCGAATAGTCCTATACAAGAAGAAGCTGGACATACAGAAGAAGAGCAAAGAGGCCTGCATCAACCTGATGACGAGCCTGACCGGGACAGCATGGAGGCAGATAGAGCACATGGTGGATCGAGCTGCCGAAGATGACCAAGGATTCGAATCCATCTTGAAGGAGCTCGACAAGACCTTCAAGTATGATGATCAGGTTGAGATGCCTCGGGCCTTCGAACGTTTCTTCTATGGGACTTCGAGGAGAGACGGCCAGACGCTCCTGAACTACGTGGCCGCTCACCGGGAGGCCTTGACCGAGGTTGAGAAACACGGCACCAAGCTGCCGGACAATGTCGCTGGCTGGGTACTCCTGAGGAGAGCTGGTTTGACAACAGAGCAGAAACAACTGGTCCAAGGCCGAGCACCTGACTTCGCCCAGAAAGCCGTGACTGAGGCTTTGTACTTCCTCTTGGGTCAGGACTTCAAAGGGAAAGCCAATGACCGCCAATGGAGAGGCAAGGGCTATGGAACTTCCTCCAACAGGTGGTCGCGACAGCATGGCTACATGATGGACGAGGTCTATGAGGCTGAGGACGAGGACTATGACTACGACGATGCGACGGCCGACCTCGACTGGGATGAGACCTGGGATGAAGCCTACGTTGAGGAGGACTTCAACGACGAGACCAACTACTACACTGCCAATGAGGAGACGGACTTCAATGATGAGACCTACCTGGAGGTGGAGCAGAACTTCGAAGAGGCATACGCCACTACTTGGATGCGAGGAGACAGATGGCTCACTTGAAGGCGAGTCGTGGCTTCTTCCCTGTGGTCGCCCTGACAGACCAAGGATCTATGGCTGGGTCCCCAACTTCCCAATCTCCGAAGACTCCGAAGTCAAAAGGCCGTGGGAAGTTCAAACCAAAAGGCAAAGGCAAGAACAAGACCAGCACCTGGGTGACCAAAGGTGGCCAGATCCCTCAACGGGCCAACGCCACGAGATGCCTCAAGTGCGGCCAAGTTGGACATTGGGCAGCAAGCTGTCCTCAGAGTGGCGCAACACGATCTTCACCTACATCACGGCAGAGCCCTACATCGACTCCTACCTCATCACCTTCGAAGAAGGCAAAGACCGACGGCTCAGCCATGATGGTCAGGGACTTGGCAAAGCTTGGTCCTCGAGGAGTTCCTCATCTTGGACCCCAAGGTTGGTATGGAATTCAAGATGGAGGCGCGAGCTCAGTGGTCTGTGGTCACGAGACCCTCATGAAGATCATCGACTACATGCGTGGCCGAGGAGTTCAACCAGAACGCTACCTCTTCATGCCGACAAACAAGACCTTCGGTTTTGGAGGTGATGCTTCGAGGCAGGCAGATTGGTCGGTGAGACTTCCAGTCTACCTGTCCGGCAAGGCTGGATACATGGAGTGCTTCATTGTGGAGGGAGCGACACCCCTTCTCATTGGACGACCAATACTGCAAGCTCTGAAGCTCCAGATGAACTACGACACCAACCAGATGTCCCTGCAGGACGGACCATGGACCGATGTGGTCTTGGGAGAAAAGGGTGAGTTCCTCATCAAGCTGGACGACGGCGTGGAGAACGACCCCACTGGATCCTATGTGGACTTCGACTTTGTCACCAACGAGACCTACGCAGCGATCTCGAACTATGAGGACTTGGAGAACTACATCGACGTCCATGAGTACCTCTCCACGACCAACAGAACCCCACCAGAGACAGCTTTTCAGACTGAGGAGCCTGAGGCGAACACCATCGAGATCGACTCCCCGGACGCTCCTGCCGAGGACCCCACAGAGATCAGGCGACCCATCACAGACAAGCTGGTGAAGTCGCTTCACATGAACTTCAACAAGTTTTCCAAGCAGCGAAGGACTGTGATGGAACAAGCTCTACATGCACATGAATCTGGACGAAAGGTGTTCTGGGAGGTGTACTCCGGCAGTGCCAACCTCTCCACTGCCATGGCTCAAGCAGGTTGGGAGATCATGTCTTTCGACTACAACACAGGATGGGACTTCACGATTGGATCCCATCGAAGAGAGTTTTTACAGCTCTTGGACGCCACCTGCCCTGAGTTTGTATGGATGGCACCGCCTTGCACCATCTGGTCCAATCTGCAGAACTTGACCCCGATGACACCACAACGACAACTCGCACTTCAAGCTGATCGGGACTATGAGGAGAACACCCACTTGAAGATGTGCAAGCGGGCATTCCAGAAACAACAACGAGAAGGTCGCCATGCTGGACTTGAACAACCCAAGAATGCACGCAGCTGGCATACTCCAACTTTGGAGGCCATCGAGGGCTACGACGCCATTTTTGACCAGTGTGCCTTTGGAAGCTCATTGCCTGATGAGTATGGAGAATTTGTCCCCATCCGCAAGGGCACCAAGCTGCGATGCACGGATGAAACCATGGCCATTGACCTGA